AACTTTGGAAGTTCAAAGCTGCAGGGGCTGATAGTCGATTGTCACTAAGGTGATAATCGATTATCACCCAGCTAAAGTCTAGCCAGCTGAAACCCGTTTTGAAAAACCGAGGTCCAAAAACGAAGTGTTCCCAAAAGTAAAAACCAGGTTTGGAAAATATTGTATATGGTATAAAATAGTGAAAACAAGACTTGTTTGGTAAAAACCAAGTCTCCAAGGTCGTATAATACGTGCGTACGGTTTAGACCGTTTTTCACGTGTTAGACCGATTGACCAAGGTACAAAAGTGGTTTTTATAAAATAATTATTTGGGAACATTTTAAAAATTCTCAGAAGTAAAAATAGGGTTTAAAATATTGAAAACCACGGAGTTGGTTCGGGCGCCAAAAACCGAACGCCGAAAGCCGAACGCCGACTTAGGTGGTTTCGGTTCTGAGCAAGGACCAGGGATTTTAACAATAAAATAAATCATCAAAAAAATGTTTGTTTTGATGCACAAAAAATATTTTATGATTTGTAAAAATTTTTTTGACTTTTTGAGAATCGAGACTTGAATTTATTGTCGGTTTTGATCACAAAAGACCGACTCGACTAAGTCTTTAATTCTTGATCTTGTCCTCGAGTCTTTTAGGTCTTGTTCCAAGCCATTCTTCACGCCTTGAGTTATTCAACGAAACTCTTTATATCCACGGCGGTTTGGAAATTATCAAAACCTGTCAGAAATGAACACGACTTTAGTTTATCGTACAAAGTGTGTTCCAACAATTTCCCCCTTTTTGATAATGGCAAACAAGACGGGGATATGCATAGGATTTTGATCTTTTTAATAAAAAATTCCCCCTTAAAAAAAATTCCCCCATAGGGTTTTGATCTTTTTGAAAAAAAATTCCCCCTTAATAAAAAATTCCCCTTTAATATATGCATAGCCCTTATCTTCCCCTTTTTGACATTAACAAAAAGATTTTTGATAACAAAAACCATAAAGATTTTTATTAATTAAGGGAAATAGCGGAGTACATGACAGAAGCAAATTTAAAAAGCATAAAAAGAATAAAGAAGAGAAGGGAATAGAGCTAGAGCTCTAGAAGTCCGGTGAAAGATCATTGAGAAGTTGGTCTTCGTCAATGTCTTCTTCTTCTTCTTCATTTTCATCACCATTGCCATCATCATCATCATCATCATCATCGGCTTCTTCTACCTCTTCCTCATCGTCCACCTCTTCATCTCTACCAACGTTTTGAGTCCCACTTTGTTTACCTCCGAAATTCGGTGGAGGAACGTAGGGGAACATTTGAGCGTACGGGTAATTGACAAAGTCAAAATACCCGTGAAGTTCACGGCTTAAGGTATTGACGTTGTGTGCCGTTTTAGAGACGTTGGTGTCAATCTGAGAGAGAGTGGCGGTCAAGGCTGCCATTTGCTCGGCGAGAGAAGGATTGGTCGAAGTGGTGGCGGTTGAGGCAGTGGCTCTTAGTTGGCGGCGTGGACGATGCTGTCGAAACGGAGTCTCGTCGGTGCTCGAGTGGAAAGAGGATTCATCAATCTCCCAATGCTTTGTCCCCTTTATCTTTGGCCCAACATCGGTTTTGATGTTATACTCTTCAAGAATCGCCATGACGAGGAGGGCGTAGGGGAGCGGCCGATTGTCGGAGGTGGTGGTGAACATGTGAGTCATCACAAATTTACACCAATTGAGATTGGCGTTGTGAATCATCGCATGAATTATCTTCGTGTCCTCTTGGGAGAGAGTGGTGTGATTGAACTTCCTGGGCTTGATAATCTGTGTCAAAACATAAAAAATGAATCGAAACACGGGGCTCATGGAAGCAATCGTAGGGCGCCGCTGTTGGGGAGTGGGGACGAAGTGTCGGATGCCCACTTCCTCCAAGAGAGCGGTCTCGTTGAACCGTGCTCCTTCTTCTCCAACGTAGAGCCCGAGATCCTGTCCATCCCGACGAAGCCCGGTGAGGATTTGAATGTTCTCCTCATTCAAATAGATGTCCACCCCGTTGACGTTAGAGATCAACGCTCCGTCCTCATCCTTTTTCAAGTTCGAGTAGAAAGCTCGA